TATATTTTCCTGACTGAAAACTTCTTAACATTGTTTATAATTCTTGAGATTTAGATGTGACGAATAGGGAGTTCAAAGGCGCAAGCCTATTTTTTCCCTCAAATATACTGACTGACTGATTCTGTACTACTGCCGTAAAAGTTCGGAAAAACAGGCCGTAGCTGATAAGCTGAAATGGTCCATATCGTTTATTAGCAGCTGACTAAAAGTGGGTCTGCAAGCAATATCTCCGTTCTTGGCCGTACGCTGTGCATTATTTAAGTCCCTAACTCTCTTAGTGAAAAGGATTATGTTGGACGGTCGAGTCGGAGTTCAATGATGCGGCCTCCTCCGACACATGAACCACTACCTGACATTTAATCCCCGTCCCCTCAACTCCAGTACTAAACGGAAGTCGTTCACCACTTCCTCCCCCCAATGGAAGTCTGATTGCCTGTTTACTCCCACCAAATGTTCTAGTGTGACAATTCCACTCCCCATTTTTGATTTAGTCTGAATATGCCTGGTGCTATCTGCTTGCAAATTCACGAACATAGCTCAACTTTCCAAGGATCTTTCTTTTCTCTGTATCTCTTACTTCAAACTGCTGTGACCCTAAGCTCACACCGCTAATTTTTTTGTATGTGTTCATTGTGAACAACAGTCTTCCGCCACCCTTTGGTCGGGGACTGTGGTTTCAAACTCCAGACGTCCCCTACCAGCCATTAGTTTAGCCAGGTTCTCCCAATGACTCGAGTCAGACGGCTGACGATTATGCCGGTAAGTATGATCCATACATTGGCCTAATTCCAGGAAAATATACTTCATTCGAGCTCGGGGCAACTTGCTCTGCTTTAGCATTCCATACATTGTCCACTGTTGCTTCGTAAACACGGCCAAAACTCCAGATCTTAAACATAACTAAAGGCCCTACTAAGCAAATTTCGATTTCAATTACTCTAACCGCAACTTGATCATCCAACACTACTTACTACGAGGGATTGGATGCCGAAAACGTGTAGACAATATAATCGATAAAATCTCAGTAAAATTTAAAAACCGTGATAAAACTCTCTGAACGCATATGTACATGCAGACAGTATAAACATAGTAGAAAATAAAGTCTGTAGAATGCGAGCTTTGGTAAGAGAGGGTGGCGCTGTGCATAGTATGGAGAAGGTGAACGGATAGAGTCAAGGTCATTTTCAGAGTAGGCGTGTCTTCAAATAGTTCGCGCATTTTCTCTCTTTTCCTCTCAAAGCACGCTCATTGAGGATTCCGGGCTGTCCAACTTGATGCAGTCTCGTAGCTCACAGCCTGTTCTATGTCGAAGAAGGCTGGCCTCGTTGAGAAACGTTTTTTCACAAAGTTGGCAGGTCAGCGGCTTTACGCCGTGAGCTTTCTGTTGATGTTTTTTTAAGGAGGTAGAGTAGGCGAAGCGCTGGTCGCACCTATCGCACTGGTAGGGTTGCTCCCGGGTATGGATGCGCAGATGACGGCTGAAGTTGCTCTGTTGAATGAACTCCTTGCCACACGTTTCACATCTAGTATTAAAGCAAAATTACATTCCTTGGATAAGAAACCTGCGGAAGGGGTGACTGCCAATGCTGTGATATCGATCGCACATACCTTACTACTTATGAAGTACTCAGTAGTGAGAGTAAATTTACAAGTACTCATCCGCAAACTGATTGCATCGTAGGTGATTGGTGTTGAATAACATACCACATTAGTAGCACAGATGTTAGTTAAAAGATTGGACACATTATCTCCCGATACTTTGCCACTGCAAAGTATGACTGTGAGGGGCCGGCTAATCAGTTGGTCCACCAGCATTTCCATACCATAGAATCTACTAATTAACTCCAAGTTATATATTAATTTCTGAGTGAATCAAAATGCTCTGATTTCTAGACCGGACTTGAAAATCCGCTGCCTCACTTATTTGTTTTTAATATGCAATATTCTGATTATATATACAGTGCACATGGGAAATTAATATACATTACGTGTGGATGGCCTAAACTTATAACGTTGTAGAAATTTTCGACGCGGTCTGATGTGAAATCTAACAATATAATAAAAACAACAATGTAATTATATAACTATAATAATATAATTATGTTGTAGTAGTATTCCGACAAGACATGGGACTCTAGAGTGGACATTTCTGGCTCATAAGCCGTCGTCAGCTAGAGATACCCAACTCGAGTTTTGCAGCTGAAATTGTTGCCACACTCGGCTTTCGAACTCGCGTCTCTCCGGTCAGAGGCAAACGTCCTAACCATTGAGCCACTAGTTCGTTTTCGTGTCAGTTGAAGATGAGATAATAAGATAATGGTAAGATACTTGCAAGATAATAGTATAA